TCGAAATACATGGGTGAAATACCCAGTTCCCTATGGTGGTGCAGTAATCACAGCTAGTATTGCTGCAATTTCGCCATTTTGGTGTTTAGCATCGCCTCAACAACCCAATGGCTCGGGAACATACTACGAAAAGTTGACGGAAAGCGCACTATCCATCTATAGTGCAGAAATTCGATCGGCATTTAATAAAACTGATTATGTGGCATCATGGGGCTTGCAAGTCACTTGGGAAAATTTAGTTGTTGATTCAACTCCGATTGATACTACTAAAGTAAGTTCTAGCCCACTTTTATTCTTGTTACGGTAGTCTGTGGAAAAATATCTTGCTTTGATTCTGTTTTCTATATCAAAATTTTGTATCAAAAATATATATGTCTTATAGAAAAATACATTCCAAGTTCAAATATTAACGGATGGGACCTCGACATACGCCTTATTTCGCTATCCTAACAATGGAATTATGTGGACCTTGCCTAGTAATTACAGTTATTTATCAGGCCTTCAAATTGGTTTTCCAGTGGCTGGATGGGGCAACGGTGGCTCAACTTATAATAATATTTTTCGATCAGGAACTACTGGAATCTCACAAGTTGTTATGGGAGCTAATGCTAATTCAGGCAAACAAGGCTATTGGAGATATGTGTGAGTCAATTAAGAACAATACCTACCATAAGGCGCAAGAACAAATTAATTAACTTTATCGTTATCAGCGATTCAAATGAAGTAGATTATTGATTTTTTAAAGTACCGTAGAATACCCGGTGCCAACTTAACCTTTCTATTTATATCGTAAGTAAATGACTAATTTATTGCAAATACGACTATTTATAGATTAACTCAGAATGCTCAAAGGCCAATTGAAGGAACATGTAGAGCTTTCTTGGCTCAGCCAGGGCCAAGATCTTTTCCACTCAGGTGCCCTTGTTCCATAGGCCAGGCTTTTTTCGATTGGCGCTTTACTTTTGATGCTGTATCAGGTAATTCGAGATGCTTTCGTTCACGATTTATACGAAATGGGATTGCCCGTCGATGCTGCTACCGAGGATTTGGACTAGGCTATGGATCATATATCATAGGACCACGCAATCCTACAGCAGGCTACGTAGTCCAATTCAACCGAGGCTCTTTCGATCATACAGGCCACAAAGCCTGCTGTAATCAGCAAACACCTGTTCAACTATGTGTTCAATTTTATAACAAATATCCGAGTGGACTTTGCCGGCCTTCACCGCGTCAAAGTAAGTCAATTGAATGATTGTGGTATAAGAGATGTAATTTAAGATTGCAGTCATTCCTTCTACCAATAAGCTATACCTACTGCAATTACTAGCAAATTTTTTAATTTAAAATTTATTCACTTTCTAAAATGACTATCCTATCTAATTGATATCGTCAAATATTAACTTCTTCCTTTAGTTATAACTTTGACCTCCAATCATAACAATTTCTACCATTTAACTTATTCCAATTCTTAAAATGAATTTCCTGTTTGTAATTGATGCCATCAGATATTTAATCATTTTTTTTAGCTATTACTTTGACTGTGACAAGGCTTAGTAAATTTAAATTGTAAAATTCATTTCAATTATTCTAAAAAATGAATGTCTTATATTGAAGCCATCAGATATTGAATTCTTTCTTACCTATAACTTTGGTTACAAGAAACATTTGTAAATTTTAATTCCAATCCCTAAAACGGTTATGCTGTATTTCATTAATTCTATCAGATATTAAAATCAATTTTAATAACAATGATTATTTTAATAATATAAAATTAAGGCCTCAGCAATTTCTTTATCGATTCCGTTTACTTCATGCATTTGTATTGCATTTTTCCTTTTTAAAATGGCTTTCAGTTTTAAAAGTGATATTACAGCATATGTAAATTATACTGCATAGTATAATTGGATATCGAAATTATCAACTACTGTATTTATTGCTAACTGATGAAAATCAATGATATCTTAGGTTGGTTTTGGGGCGATCCTCATTTTAATACCGTGGATAATCAAAATTATACCTTTAACGGAATTGGTGATTTTATATTATTACGCAATCGAACGATGAGCCAAACACCCTTCGAATTCCAAGCTCGTAGTGATGAAGTTTCTCCTGGTGCTGGAGCTACGGCATTTAAAGCTGTTGGTGGATATGAAGGTGGTAGTGGGATCGTTGAATTTAACTATGACAAGATTACTAAAAGTCTTCAATTATATTACAACAAAGTGAACCGGACAATTGGAGATTTACCACTTACCCTTGGTAGTGATGCTATTCATGTTCTTAAATTAAATTCAAGTGCGATGAGAGCGGAATTTAAATCAGGTATACAGTACTACTACGGCGTTAAAGTTTGAGTTTGAGTTTAAATAAGCTACTTTACACCAAATTTCAAATTTGTTTTAAGAGTCCATCTTTCTTCTCTTCCTCCCATACTTTAACTAAATTTAACGATTCAGCTGGAAATATATCAATATATATTAGATGTAATTCGGTTTTACCCTTAATTATCCCTACTTAGCTATATCATATGTATCGTACCTCAAAGTAGACTTAAGTTTCTAGCAGTTATGATTATGATCTTTTAGAAATGTAACATTACTAAACAGTTTAACCAACTGGTCTATAAATCTGCTGCATTAATAATATTCAGCTGAAATAAATATTGAAAATCTATTATCACGATGAAAAATGGTCAAATAGGTACGACACTGCAAGCCATTTTGAGATCAGACGGAATTTTAGATGCAACCGTGCAATTATCACGGGATTACTACGGCAATACAGAAGGCCTTTTAGGTCGATGGGACGGAATTCAGAATGATTTTGCAAATTCGAATGGTGTTGAATTTCCACTAAGTAGCACTTCAGCGCAGGAAATTGATACTGTAGGAAATACATGTAAGTAGGTTCCTTCCTACTAGTATTTTATCGTTTATCAATCGCTTTAAATCAGTTCCAAGCAAATCTTTTTTTAAGTTTTTGTTGGAATACGTGTATATGGCTTGTCGTTCTTGAGACGACATCCATCATTTTTTGATAAATTGGCACTTAGCAAGAGCGAAAGTAATATCTACAGTATTGATTGTCTCTCAATCTCTCAGATATAATGTTCTTGTTCTCCATAAGGTTGATTATCACTTTATGATAAACTTGATCCTTCAGCACATTGTTGAGAAGGAATACATCTAGGCTTTCTTTTTACTCCATTCTAAAACCTAAGTAAACTAATTTACCGGCTGATCATGCACTCTTATAAGTTTGTATGACAAGAACCATTTTGCTATGATTTCATATTTTTTCAATCGGAATTAATTAATAGTTGAATTTTCTTTTAATAACTAGTAGACATGCTTTATGCTTGATTAATAGCTAATTAATCTTGATCCGTACATTTGGATAGAAATTCATGTGTGAATGAGTAGAAGCATGGTCTGAGCTTATGCTTCATTTTTGCCTTATCAAGATGTTGATCGCATTTGGCTGAATTTACATTTTAACAGGGAGAGTAAATCCCGGAGCTGGAATCTTAATTAATTTTCCACCAACTTCAGGATCATACCAACCAAAGTTTACTGACAATATCACTTTCAGCAGTCCAGAATTGGAAACAAATGCAACCAAAATCTGTGGACAAAATATTGCATGTTTATTTGATGCAGCTGTAACAAATTCTCTTGCTATTGGTTTACAGTCTAGATTAGTAGATCAGACCAATAATCAAGCAAAGGAAGAATTAGGTAACGTAGGCAGTTGACTATATTATAAGTAATTTTTGTGTTTTGCGCAATATAAACATAAATTTTTAGTAAGAGCATTTGCACATTACCATAAATACAAAATGTAGATATAGTCTGGTCTATATACGGGTATTTACCACGATAAAAGAGTAAAGTTACTCTGACTATCTACGATTATTTTTGCGAAATATAAAATGATATTATTATAAGTGTGTTTACTTGTCTTATCAGATAGCTAGTGTAGTTTATTCTAAGAATGAATATTTTGCAAATATATATGAATAAAGTCTCATTTCGGATACGCTTACTTGCCTTGAGAAATACTTGATGTAATCTGCGGGTATTTTTTGTCAAACATGAATACGACTCTTGAGTTGGAATATTAATTTGTCACGGCAAATACAATATAAGCCGAATAGTCTAGCCTATCGATCAGCATTTGCAGTAATTAAAAATCATCTTTCTCGTCGAATTCTAGACCATGAACCTCCACAAATGATCGTGCCTGCATCTATTAACGTAACGGTTGGCTCTACGGTTTCTTTTACTGTTACTGCTTCAAGCAATAATGGATATAGCATCAATTTTACGATATCAGGTCTGCTACCTACTGGAATAACATTCTCTAATGGTAGCAGCAATGGTAGCTTTGTCTGGAATGCTACATCAGCCAGTCCAGTATCCCTAACATTTATCGCTACTGATAGCAGAGGTAGGTCCTCCTCCGTAACACCAATTGTCAATATGTGCAATTGTACGAGCAATGGCCAATGTATGTTTAATGCTGCCGTTGGAGAAGCGTTTGCTGTGGTTCCGTGCAAGTGTTCTGCAGGATATACTGGTCTTCGATGCGAGAACAATATTGATGCATGCCTAGCTAATCCAGATGCATGCTATCCAGGAGTAAAATGTACAGATCAACCCCCTCCAGCTGGAATAAATGGCTTTACTTGCAGTCCATGTCCTGCAGGGCTTACCGGGAATGGAAGTACATGTACAGGTAAGCCATGGTTTACAATAATCGTTACCAATTAACGAGATAGTTGTTAGGAATCGTTTTAGTAACGTAGAAATTGTAGCAGGATAGAGTTAGTATAAATGAGAAAGGGTAATGAGAATGATCTTTATGAGCAAACCTGCTGCTGAAAATACAAGAGTGTTGAGGAACTGTAATTCATTAAACTTAGGAGAATTTTTAGTGATACAGCTCATAAATGACTTATTGCAGACATTAATGAATGCCTGCGATCTCAGCATAAATGTAATCAAACTTGTGTCAACCTGGTTGGCTCTTATCGTTGTCAATGTCGATCTGGATATCGCTTAAATGCTGATGGCAAGGGGTGTCAAGGTAATGCTTCGATTCTGCCTTTAATTTGATTAATTTGAAATCGTTTCTCTATTCTATCAAGTAAAAAAGACGATAAACAATAGATTTCTGAATTAAAGTTAATTAATTTATGTGTGTAAATCATATCTTAAGATATAAATGAATGCATTGGACTAAATAACTGTCAGCAAACATGCATTAATCAGCCAGGTGGTTTTCGGTGTTCTTGCTTCGCCAATTTTATCCTTAATGTTGATGGTCGGACTTGCAGAGGTTATATTAGTTTTCTCTCTTTGATAGTTCTTACTCTTAATAGATATTATGTTATATTGCTACATATGGTAGATTTGAAAACTCAATTACTTTTTGCACGTATTCCAAATAGCAAATAATTCTTGCCCTCAACCGAATGTATGTGGAAATAACCTTTGCCATCTAGAAGGCACTGCTGAAATTTGTACTTGCAAAAAAGGCTATCGATTAACTGGTCCTAATACCTGTATAGGTTAGTTTGCTACAACATCAATGCGGTAATGATGAGATTGAAATTTTTCAACTATGAGTTCTATAGGCTAATTTTCTTGTCCGGAAATGATACAGATATCAACGAATGTTTGGCTAACAACGGTGGCTGTTCTCAACTGTGTGACAATACCGTCGGAAGTTTTCGTTGCATGTGTAGAAAAGGGTATTTACTGGATTCTACTGAATTCTGTAGAGGTAAGAACACCTATTTATGATAAATGGTGCATTACCTACGGAAATTGAAAGGAATGTTAGCCACATTACTTGTAGGATCTTGTTTATCATGACGAATATTAGATTTGTTAACCCGAAAGAAGTACTTCATTCTGATAAATATGCAGTTTTCCAATATTATTTCTATGTCACTATATTAATTTCCATCTTATTCTTTCTACTATTAAGATATTGATGAATGCTCTAGAAGTGATGATTTATGCCAGCCAACACAAATTTGCCGAAATACACCATCAAATTATTACTGTATTTGTCGTCCTGGGCTAGTATTCATGAATGGAAGATGCCAACTACGTAAGATTGTAGAACAAATGCTGATGGAGAACATTGATTTATCTACCATTAGTTCCAAACATACAGCTATTTTCAAGTGTAATTACTTAGGATGTGGTTCTTTGGTCTTTTTCTGATTTATAACTATCTTTTTGGTTGTTTAGCTCCGTCCAATTATGTTCCACCAACTCAACCTCCACCGAATGCCGATCAGACCCAGAATTCCGTTCAAGCTCTATTTCAGTATGGTAGTGCAACACAGGTTGATCATTCGTCCAAATACAACTGGCATCTTCATTCTGTAATCTGATTACATCGATTTTATTGCATATTCTTATCTTATCTTTTCCTATTTTTTATTTATTTGGGTTATGATTGCAGTGGAATATGAATACCAATAATGCATTTAAAGCAGCTTTAGCTGTGATTGTAACCAATTACTGTGCCAGTCAAAGTCAGAATTGCATGATCCAGAATCGAAGGTATAGTCTAAATTTTGAAACTCGTAGAGAAGATGTCAATCCGGAACAGAGTTACGAGCAGCACTAATAGCACCATGATTTATGCTTAGCGACAGTTATTTTAATTGGAGTTGTTTTTTCGGATTTTCCTGTTATAGCTCCATTTTTACGCAAGGTGACATCCAAATCCAGCCAGGCTATCCTAAAGCCAATGGGTATATTATACCATTTTGCAGCTACATTTTAAATTCTTTCATGACTCGTAAAATACATCTAACCAATTATCACTAATGCTATATGATATTAGCAATAATAACCTCGTCATCTTCTACGTCAACCTACCGCCAAGTGCTCAATCAGTTGGAGCTTCCAAAGTTGTTCCTTCAACTGTTCTTGTTAATATTGTAAGAAATAATTCGATCCATATGGCAGCTGCGGTTGGTGCTCTACGAGTCACTACTATTTCACAAGTTGCAACATCGCAACCTACTATGGCTACAACATTATCTACGGTATCTTCGAGAGATAATTTGATAATTGGCTTAACGTTAGGTATTGGTGGTGGTGTGGTGTTATTATTATTTGCATTTGCTGGGTAAGATTCTAATATACTCAAAGCTTCGATATTACTAGGTTTTACGATTTTAGATTATGATTGCTATATGGAGTCAAAGACTTGTAATGTATTTTTTATTAATTATGTCAAAAGTTTTTACACATACTAGCTCACATAGCCAATTGCAGATTGCTGCATGATCACTATGTATTTACCTGTACTCATAAAATATTAGTGAGGAGAGTTATCAAGTGAGATTTCAAGTAAGTCTTCCATTTTTCTCTCCTACTAGTCCCTGTAATCTTGAGCTCACTGTCCATATTTGTTTATATGATATTTTATGCGGAGTGCAATTTGATCGCCGACGATTTGCATGTACTGCTGCAAGATTCGCTAGAATAGATGTTATGTGTGACTTTAATGGGGTTTTAATAGGGTGCCAAGTGAGATTTCAATTCAGTCTCCCATTTTTACTCCTACTAACCCATGTATCGTAGGTTTATTGCCAATATTTGATTTTATGATGTCTTAAGCGGATTGCCATCGATTTGCTTAGACAGCTTCAAGACTAGCTAAGAATATTTAGAATAGATCAAGGTGGTCTTTACCAGATCTAGCAGTTATAACTCCTGTTCGCACACACTTTTGCGCTATCATAGATTACCATTACTTCACGATAGTCTTCAATATATTTCATGGGATATTAATGAGATGCCATTCTATATTTTTATATAATAGCTTTCCATCCTAAAATTTATCAGGTTTTAATGGAAAAGTCTTATCACGAATTGCGCTTGCTCACATGAAATTTATTATGATAAATGATTTATTACGCTAAAATGTTCAAGTATAGCTTTAATTAAGTCTAACAACTTTACTCATACTGGCCAACATAATTTTGATCCTGCTTGCTGCATGATAGTAATAAACTTTTTGCATATGCTGGTGAATGGTAAAGATATCAAATAAGTTTTTAATAATAGCTGAGTGTTATAAATCTTACTTATGTTAACTCGTACTGTTGGATCTATATGCATTGATGGAAAATCAATTGATATTAATATCTACTTATCTCATAGATTGGTTTTAATAGTATCATAGAATTCTCACCCATATTATCTGATAACATTAGATTTCCTTGCATTGATGTTCAATTAGTAAAGATAGAATGATAGACAGTATAATAAGCGTGGTTTTAGTAGTATCATAAAGCTATTGCTCATACGACTTCATAACTTTAGATTTCCTTGTACTGATATCCGATTAGTAAAGATAGAATGATAAATAATATTGGGTATGGTTGTAACAGCATCTTACAGTACTCACCTTCAGTATACTAGACTGATAACCTTAAATTTTCTTGTACTGTATATCCGATTAGTCATGATATGTTTGATGTTATATCAGATGGTTTTAATAAGCCCACATTATCTATACTGCTGCTAGATCGCTATAAATATATATGCAAAAGCTTAATAGATGATTGATTTCATGTCTAGCTTAATCAAGACTTAAAATGGCTTTTTCAAACCAAATTATAAGATTTGGGATTATGATTACTGTTTATTGTTATAGGTTTACGATGTATCGTTTGGATGGAATTAGTTTATAGTTGTACTGGTCTAGACAAGCTGACATTATAATTCCAATTATTATACTGTTACATAGCTGAATCTATTTTGTCATTGCAACGCAATCAAGAGCCTTATTTAAATCTATTTGGTATTACGCTTGTAGATATTACTTTAGGAAAGGTAAAAGGCCTGACGCGGCAGAAGGTCGAAAATCCAAGCTGTATTGCGAGAAAGCGAGAGAATTAACCAAACTAAATGACTTGTAATTTTGCTTGTCAACTTTCATGTCGTCAGGGGTAACCTATTTTATTACTATCGTCTTTACATTTGTAGAAGTAGTTTACCAATCGTTTGGCCTTTATTCAACATAGGATTTTATTTTTAGGCCACTATTTTATCAATATTGTTTTATTTTGATTACGTTACGTAAAATATTATACAGAAATCCAATTTCTTACGGCAGATTCTTGCGTATAGGAATTTTTAATTACTTTGTTTATGATGCAGTCTACGGCTTGAAAATTGGATGCAAGTACTACAGCGGCATTTGGTAGTCCGTTAGAATTAGAAGTCTATGATTACAAATTATTTTAAATATTTGAAATGAATTTTTGCTATGTTTATCTCCATGATGCTTGATGATTCAGAATTAGACGCTGTAAGGATTATCAAAACTAGGATGATATTGCTTAACTCTAGTTCTTCAAGGTGTATCATGATTGCTATTCCAACCGCATTTATTTAATCATCAGCAATCAATTCATCTATGGCAGCCTTGAAATTCATTTTCTAACTGCCCGTACTGTACGTTCATTTACTTGAAATGACTGCATCATTTTACTCTTGCTGTATTCTACAATAATCGTTAAAGGAATAAAAAGGTGTGATTTAAAATATCAAACTTTATGTGCTTGAAGTAAATAAGTGTCTGTGACTTATTTGCCTAACGAGTAAAGCAGGAAAAAATTTACTATATAAGCAACAAAGATGCTCAGTACTGTGGCCGTAAAAAGAGAATGATCAGGGTTACTTTACTTTGTCATGCCAATTAGCATATAAACTATTTTGATGAACTAATTACACATCAACAACGTCAGTTATTGACAATCAAGTGATCCAATGCCGGTAATCCATAGGATGAAGAAGAGATGGCGAATACAATTTTAAATGCACAGTAGAAATAGAAGAGTTTCCTTTTTTTCGCTATTTTTTAACTTGCATCGCTCTGGGTTTCAATTAAAGTAAGTCGATCTATTTTTATACAATTCGTCGAGCTGATATCATTATTTCCATGATTGTTGAAGAATTTTATTCCATGCAGAGACTAATAGGCGTGTTACGTCAAGAATTCTTCAGAATAAAGAAGTAAACTATTCCAAATTGAATACAAAAGCAAGCATCAACGAGTATGGTTACCAGAATGGCAACATCGATTGTTTACCAGTTATGTTCCCAATCTACATAAGAATAGCAGATCATGGTAACTGTTTGAATTGATTAGTTATTCTCTATCCTTTCTATGAATGCAGTAAAACTAAGTCTTTGTTGATTACAAGAATAGCCTAAGGCAGCAACTTTGGGTTGGGCACGGCATGACTAATGCATTGACGTCGATTCCACACCTAAGCCGCATTTTGTCGGCGGCGATCAAATTTACTCATCATTGGACGGCCTGTTTTCACTGTTGGGTGGTAACGGCGCCGACATTAACTAAATTTACTTGGTTAAAGCTCCCTGCTAAGGCAAATTAATTCGTTTGCTTTCCATCCTAATAAGAAGTCCGATCGAAACGATCCGTTGTATTATATTTAGATCCATCTTGATTGCCCATTAGATTTTCTAACCTTCATTTTTTTAGTGTTTGAACTTGATTAAAAGACAATCTTCACCATGCTGAAATTGGCGGTTTTAGCCATCGTCTTGGGCTGTTTTACAACAGCACCGGTTTCTGCTCAAGAATCTATGTCACTCTTCCTTTTTAGTGACTCTGACGTCTTGATTACAGAATCTACCGCTGTGGTTGTTACATCTTCCATTACAACTGGTTTTGAAAGTACTATGAGTATGCAAACAACGATGATGTTTTCCTCCAGCATTGCACCACCAACTAATCCTACCTCTACCTTAACCCCGCAACCAACGCCAGCTAGCGGTAAGATCGACGTTAGAAAAAATTTGTAGGCCAGATATTAATGATAAACTGTCTAGAGATGGTCTGCGATGCGAAAAAAAATTACTATAATCCTTTGCTATAATTAATCTGTTGGACTATAATGGAATGGCGGCGGGGTAATGCGATCCTTGCTCTGAGAAAAACACCGGCATAGAATTAAAATACTCTGAAATATATGAAATAGGAAGATTGCTATCTTTTTCAACCAGATACCATTATTCATTTAATAAGATTTCTTGCAATTTCGATAAACTGTAGATGATAAAGTTTGTAACTTCATTTTTTTTAACTGAAAGCAACAGTAATAAATGATAAAATTTAATACTATCAGCTACCTTCGATCAGATTTGATCGCTAACATTGAATTAAATCGAATAATTAGATAGTGGAAATTTACGTCCATTTTCCAAGAATATGGCTGTCCCATGCGGTGCTACTTGTCCAAGCGTAAATATACCACAATCCATTGGATTACCAATTTACGGAAAGTTATACTACAAAGCTTACGTAAGTATCAATATCGTGTAAAAATTGATTTGAATTTTCTCCCCTTATCCTCAGAATCGACGAAGTGGATCGATTTATGACTGAGAAAATGACTACAACTTCATATAAATTAATAGAACAAAGAAGGAAGATTATCATATGGGTGTACTTACGGGTAATAACAGTTATTGCTCTTACAGTAGAAACCGGGTTAGACTAGTGGCAGTAGTGTAATGATTACTTGATCAACTATCTGAAAGCCCTTAGACAACCCCTAATCGAATACTCGTGAAAATTAATCCTACACAGGCAACCATCCTATAGATCATTGATTCCAGGAGAGTACCGTTAATAGCACCAATATTGATGGAAAAATTTAATTTTAAATCTTTAAGCTTACTGTAAAGAGGCCGTTAGACACAGCTAGACCGTCCGGAAGAAAGTAAAAGACGGCTTAAATGATGATCTATTATAATTATACTACGTTAGACACACTCATTTCCATTCTCTTTATTCGATTCGTGATCCTTCCTGCCATAGTATCCTACGCAGATAAATCTTTAATTCATATTACCGGTATCCGATTTTAGATTTGTGGCAATGGCATGGTTACTTTCAACCGAAATTCTTGGATTAAATACCCTGTGCCGTTTGGTAGCTCTGCTGCTATTAGAGGATTGACAGCTATCTCACCATTTTGGTGTTTAGCTTCATCTCAACAGCCCAATTGTACTGGTACTTATTACGAAACACTTAGAATGGATTTATTAACCACATACAGCAACGAGATCCGAACTGGATTTCAGAAGCCTAATTTTAATGCAACTTGGGGATTACAAGTTACTTGGGAAAACATCTTAGCCGATGGTGCACAGCCCAATTCAACAATGGTAGGTATTAAAAAAATGATATTCCATAGGTATCATCAAAGATTTAGCAATTTATTATAACTATCTAGAGACCAATCTTAAGCTTCCTATTTCTCAATATATTCGCAGCAAAATTCCTTCCAATTGCAGTTATTAACCGATGGGATCTCGACTTATACACTCTTCCGTTATCCAAGAAATGGTATTATGTGGTCATTACCCGCTGATAATAGCCTGCTAACCAATATAAGAGTTGGTCTACCTGTCGCCGGATGGAGTGCTGGTCGATCAATGCCTGCTCGATATCAAAGTATTAGTAAATCAGGAACACTCAGAATTTCGCAGGTTTTAACCGGCATGAAGACCAACACTGGCCAACGTGGCTACTGGAGATTTGCGTAAGTAATATTGCTATATTAACATATTCCACGAGTAATGAGTAGATATAAAGAAGATATAAAGATGTAGAAAAACTCATCTTTGAAAATTGTTCTTGCTGCTAGTAAATTAAATAATTGAATGTTGATGATGACCGTAATATTGTTATTAATTGCTATCATTTTGACCTTTAGGCTTACTAATGCTACTCGAAGACTTAGCGAAGGTTCCTGCAGAGCATTCTTAGCTCAAGCAACACCAGTTGGCAATCCACTTCGATGTCCTTGTTCATTTGGACAAATTCTTTTTGATCGACGTTTCCAATTCGATGCTTCTATTGCTAATCATATCTGCTATCGAACAAGATTTATTCGCAATGGCCTTAGTCGACGATGCTGCTATCGATTAAGGAGGCCAGGATTTGGTGCTTACCAACGAGGACCGACTAACATTAATGGAGGATTTGTGGCTCGATTTAGCCAAGGCCGATTAGATACTAGTGGGCATAGTTTCTGTTGTAATTCACAAACACCCATTGCTCTATGCCTTCAGTTCTACAGGCAGTATCCAAGTGGAAATTGTCGCCGTCCACCACGCCTATGTATGTTGCATCTTTCAAATTGATTTCATTTTACTCGTATAGCAATAATTTCGATATACCTTACGAATCGATTTGTTAACTGACAGTGACTGTATTCATTTCTTTTTATTTTTCTTCCATTTAAACACAGCCTGGTTTTGGGGAGATCCTCATTTCACTACTTTGGATTCTCTCACCTATACCTTTAATGGACTTGGCGATTTTACCTTGGTCCGCAATCGGACAGCGAGCGCAGTTCCATTCGAATTTCAAAGTCGCTGCGTTGAAGTTTCCAACGGTGCTGGTGCAACAGTATTTAATGCTGTTGGTGGTTATGAAGGCAATAGTGGTATAATTGAATTTAAAGCGAATAATGTAACTAAACAAGTGGATGTCTACTATAACCGCACATTGCAGATGGTTGGAAATCAATCCGTCACTTTCGGTAATGGTGCAATATACGTTACCCTAAATGGAACAACCATCACTGCTGAATTTGAGTCAGGTCGGTGTAGGAAGTGTGAAAATCAGTATCGCAGTATTAGCTAAGTTAATGAATATCGTATATATTGCTTTTCGAAATCTATCGAATGGTCTGGTAGTCGATTATGATCTATTCGTATATTGCTTTCGAAAGCTTAGACGCAGAGGAGATGTTAATAAATAAATAACTCAACAATTAATAAATTGATCATATTTTCGAATCACATAGGAACTGTAATACAGTCTAGCTTGCGCCCTGATAATATTCTGGATTCATCGATATCATTATCGCGAGACTATTTTAACAACACTGAAGGACTGTTAGGTCTATGGGATGGAGTAGCATCCAATGACTTTACAAGTAGCTCAGGCGTACAACATAGCATTGCTACTAAAACTCCTCAAGAAATACACGGAATTGGTCTTACGTGTAAGCTACTTACCTTAAATAAAATATATGCGATAACACTCATCATCATCTAACATATCTGGAATATTAATATAATAGCAATTTGTCAACATCAATTCTATTCCATTTGCAATTTGTAGGGGCTGTATCTGCCAATCTAAGGCTGTTAGTCGGTAATCCTCCGTCATCATTAGATTATCAGCCCGTCTTTACCAACAACGTAAACTTTAGCACACCAGAATTGCAAGGGAACGCAACGGATGTTTGCGGCTCAGATCCAGCATGTTTATTTGATGTAGCAGTGACCAATTCTATTGGCGTAGGGAATCAATCCAAAATTGTTGGCCAGACTCTAACCAGAGAAAAGGAAGAATTAGGTAAGTTTCAATAGTAACTGTTGTATTACTAATATTCTGATACTTGTAGAATTACTCTATCACTTTGTTCCACCAAGAAATACCTTTGTAGTTTATAGCCGACTCATTACTATAGGTAAGACGGTGACTTTAACTTTGTTATCATTTATTTCTCTCCGCTATGCCTCAGACCATGAACCTCCTAGTATGATTGGACCATCATCCATCAATGTCACTGTTGGCTCCAACGAATCTTTCGTCATAACTGCTACTAGCCCGAATGGATACAACATTAATTTTACCTTAACGGGCAATTTACCGAAGGGAATTAACTTTGTCAATGGAAGCGCTGTTGGTAGCTTTAGCTGGGATGTCTCGTCTGCTAATCCTGTTTCGCTAACTTTTATTGCAACTGATAGTAAAGGAAAGTCCAGTACTTTTACGCCAGTGGTTAATATGTGTAACTGTTCCATGAATGGCCAATGCATGTGGAATTCTGCAGTTGGAGAAGCGTTCGCTGCCGTTCCATGCCAATGTTCAGCTGGCTATACAGGATCACGATGTGAAAGCGATATTGATGGATGCGCCGCCAATGCTGATGCATGCTTTCCTGGAGTAACTTGTACAGATAAACCAGCGTCAGCTGGATTACCTGGCTTTACTTGTGGTAGTTGTCCTGTAGGATTTTCAGGAAATGGAGTCAACTGTATAGGTTAGTGAAGATATTCTGCTTGAAAAATAATGCTAACAAAGGCAACATGATCGAATGAAATAATGAGCAAATGTTTATATATCCTTGTAGATATCAATGAATGCCAAGTATCCAATGGTAATTGCGGTAGTATTTGCGTTAATACTATTGGCTCATATCGATGTACATGTCCTAGCGGATATTATTTGGCCATGGATGGAAGAACGTGCCAAGGTTTAAAAGATTTAACAATCATGCTTGCTTTTCCTCATTCCCTATTAGATTTTAATACCGTTAGGCTAATATGAAACTTACTGATTGAATGCTATTTATGTAGATATAAATGAGTGTAATTCGACCAATGACTGTCAGCAAATTTGTATCAATACTATGGGTGGCTATAATTGTTCATGCAATACCAACTTTGCGCTGAATCCTGATATGCGAACATGCAATGGTAAAGTTCTATGTAGATGTTGTGAAATAGTCCTACCTAATGTTATAATATGGCATGTATAAGTCACCAGATGCAATATTATGAGATACAGTAGATTTAGTAAAATACTGCTGCAATATAGCGTGGGATACTCTCTAGCGTGCCTAGAACATTAATACTTTAGGAATCATCATGTAATACTTGATATATTAATGTGGCTTATACAGAGGAATAGTACTGTAGTTATCATTGGAATTTCACCCATTAATAAAATCAATTTTTTTCAGCTACTGCTCCTTGTCCACAGCCAAATAGTTGTGGCATGCATTTCTGTCAAATGCAAGGTGGAAATCAAGTGTGTACTTGTAGGAAGGGATATAGGAAAGACATGAATGGCAACTGTACTGGTAAGTAAACTAGTAAACCTGTGTCATACTTGTGACGATTATTGGTATAACAACTGTATGATCTATCAGAATATTACTAAAATTCTGCTATTTTTCTATCACTTAAAGATATCAACGAATGTTTAATAAATAATGGTGGTTGTTCGCAAAACTGTAATAATACCAATGGCGGCTACTTTTGCTCTTGTAGACAGGGATATCAGCTAGATACCGGCAAAAAAAATTGCATCGGTAATAATGATAAATTTGTTAATCTTACAGTTTTGCAAACGTAGCAATGACTTACGTCCTAATAGCCTAAGTTTGCTGATTAAAATCTAAATCAACCTTTGAAATTTTCTAAAGATGTTGATGAATGTACCGCTGGTACTGATTCCTGCCAAGCAACTGAGTTATGTCGAAATACCCCAACTTATTATTACTGTATCTGCCGACCTGGTCTTGTATTCATGGATGGAAAATGTGAAATAAGTACGTTGAAATAATACCGTCGTATTCGATATTCTAATAGACTAGGAATTGAGCATTCAAGATACAAAATATAAAAAATCACATTTTGATAAAGGCATAAGCTAACTGTATGATATAATTATTGGGTCATTGATGGTAATATATCCTTAATTGATGCACTAGAACCATCAAATTATGTTCAACCAACACCGGCGACTCCAAACAGCAATGAAATTGCCAATTCTGTGCAAGCAACATTCGAATATTCCAATAGCATACTGGTAGGATAGGATGTTCAATTTGTTTCATTGGAGGGTTCCATTTACTACTTCAAAGATTGGATGATTCAATCTTTTATTATGGAGAATAACCTCTTTTAATCCTTGCAATTTGTCACTAATGATGCACTTTGATTTTCTAGTGGGCTAGCAATTACCGAGATCAATTTAAAGCAGGATTAGCTATAGTGGTTACTCGCTATTGTCAAAGCCAATACCAGACGTGTTCACTTCAGAATCAAAAGTAAGTAACAAGAGGCTTGATTTCTGTTCTGGAATTTGTTTTAAAGTCGATATCATGCACTTACGGCAGTTTAATTTTCTGATATAATTAAAATAATGGTAAATCGTATAAGAATCCGTTATGAACAACAAATATTGGCCTAATAGTTTAAATTAAGGATAACTGATTAATTTATCCATGTGCTATTTCTCCACGTGATTACTCGATCAATATCTAAGCACAGTAATAATATTTGATAGAATAGCCAGAGCATGAAGTGACTATAATTTACGATACGGATAAGTTATTGCTATTTCCTGATGGATGTAATGTTATATCTATTTTATATAAGCATAAGGACTAACAATGATGCTAATTTATGATAGTGTGGCATTTAATCAAGGCAACGTACATATTCGTCCGGGCTATCCAATGATTTTAGGGTAATTTACTTATTTGTTCTGTGCTCTTCAATATAATTTTACCTTGGATATAAACTCAATGATATGCCTTCTTTTATTATGATGGAATAGCAACAATAATGTCGTCGAATTCTACGTGAAACTACCTGTTGGTGGTTCAGCAACTGTTCTACCTAGTAATGTCCTGACTAATATTGTCAGTGCTAACCAAATGCATCTTTCTGCAGCCGTTAATGCTCTTCGCGTAACTGGTATTCAACAAGTTACTCCAACGCCAAAGCCTACTACAGGGATACCCACTTCTAGACCAACTATTGCTTCAACAACTGGATCAGCTAGCAAACCAACTACTAAACCAACTATTAAACCAACGGTTGTTACTGCTCCTAATAGTGATAACTTGATCATTGGCCTAACATTAGGCATTGGCGGTGGCGTAGTCTTGATCCTTTTTGCATTCTTAGGGTAATTTTATTCATGTTGGTTATGAATTTAGCTTTAAACGAAACTTAAACCTACGTTTTAGCTACAAATTCATAGATAGATTGAATAGGATAGAAAAGAAGATATGATATATAAAATAAGGCTAATTTCTCTTTTATATTTTATTTATTGTTCTAGGTATTACTTTAAGAGGAGCCGATCACTTGCTCGTCGTGCTAATGAGAAATCTCGAGAATTAACCAGAATATATAGCGAGAAAGCAGAAGAATTCACCAAGCTAAATGATCTATAAATTGTCAGAACATATTCATATCGCAATATTCGATAATGCATGATGGATGGTCATGATAATGATGCCATGAATGGATAAACATGACATGAGCACTTATTTAATTCTAATAAACAAGTCATTTTCATATTTTGATAGCTAATATACTTAGCTAAATATGTTCAGCATGAACATTATTTTATAAATGAAATCAATTGTTTTCAAATTATCATTTACTGGTCAATCCAATTTCCTACAGCAGATTCTTGCTCAAAGTTATTGATAACAACTTTGTTTATGATGCAGTCTACGGCTTGAAAATTGGATACAAGTACTGTGTTGGTATGTTGTAGTCCACTAGGTTTTTAAGCTCATAAGGCCACTTATTTTCCTATTTAATTAATAAAGAGTTATTTAATTATTGGCTATGCAGTCATTGTTATAGCAATTTTGATATTTTTGTTACGATTTCTCAGACTAGATTTCTTGTAGCTGTAAAACACATATAAATGGTGTTAATAAAAACATTTAAATTAATTTTTATAAGGTCGATGATGTAGAGTTGTAGATATTGGCTAAGTTTTACCTTGAAGCTAACCAAGTATTAAAAAATTTGCACGATTTTGGTTAGAAAGAAATATTTAAATTAATGCTGGTAGGGTTAACAATGAAGAGTTGTTGATATTGACTAAGTTTTGCCTTAAAGTTAAACTTTAATCAAGCATTAAAATAGTACGATCTTAGTTAAAATTACAGGGTCAGCGATGAAGAGTGATAGATATTGGTTAATTTTTTGTCTTAAGGTTAATTAAGCATTAAAATTATACGATCTTGGTTCGATATTACTTTACAATGAGAATAATGATGACAGTTATGTTCTTCTAAATCTAAAGTTGATGTTGATTAGGCATCAAAATTGTATAATATTGATTGAGTATCACTCTATAAGGGCAATGATCATGATGGTTTGCCTTTTTAAACTGTAAATTGAGATTGATCTGGCCTTAAAATTACATGATCTTGGTGGAATATATCCCTCCAACGACAATGATTGAAATATTTTCCTATTAAAGTCTATCAAATTTAGGAGTATTCTGGCTTTAAAAGTGCATGGTCTTGGTTGAATGTTACTCAACTAGGGTATGATAGAGACACTATACCATTTTAAAACTATATACCGAGACTGTTGTGACTTTAGAATTGTACGATCCTGGTTAAATACTCCTTTACAACTGGAATGATCGCACTATTTTACTTTTAAAAATGCAGTGTAAGTATAATTTGAGATTATTCTGGCTTCAAAATTGTACAATTTTGGATGAATTTAATATCGCCGTAAAAGAGGAATAATCCGAACGTTTTTTTCTCAATATACGGCATAAATTAAGATCAATTTATTTCACTAATAACTAATGACCATCGATGAAATCTTATCATATATAGCATTCATCTTAACCTATTCTTAAACTAATTTTTAACTTTGATTAGCTTCATTTATGATGGTGATTCACTCTTCAATAATATGCATAATCATATCAAGGTGATTAAAAACGATTGAAATAACTTGATCATTTTTGTACTCTTTACAGTATTAGTAATTTCAGTTTGACTGTAAAATCACTTATCAATTTACTGGCTTGTAATCAATCATAATCAAGTGGATGGTAATGTGATACAAAAACTTGATCGCGAGCCCTTTTATACTAATAAGGATCTTTGTATATGACCGTATATCATTTATGAACTTATTAGATTACTATATGTCGAGGTCAGCTGGACACACTAATAATTTAAATATGGCCATATACATGTAGCTTTTATAAACTTATTGGTCCTTATTCATCATGATCAGCTAGATGGCAATGGATTTTAAAACTCATTTCTTAATTCTTTTACTGCACTAATAATTTTGATATGATCCTGTAGGTTTTTTTAAGTCATTTTCTATTACCATTGGTGAATGGTAATGAATTGTAATCGTTTGATCAAATCCTAACTATTTTACAGTATCGGTACTCTTACTTTCAATATGCTCATATAGTTTTCCTGAACTTATTGGACTATTATCCATTTATGGTGAGGTGAAGTGGATGGTAATTATAATGGATTGTGATAACTTGATTATTTTTTGACTCTCTTACAGTACCAATAATTTGGGTATGGCTGATAGAGGACTCGTTGACTTATTGGTCCATTATCTATCGTCAGATGGATGGAAATGAATTGTAATCACTCGACTCTATTACAGTACTCATATTTTCAAGATGGTCTTACAGCTTTCATAAACTTATTGGATTACTATCCGTCGCGATGAGATGAGTGGTAATCGATTGTATTATCTCGACTATTTCTTGACACTTTACAGTACTAATAATTTGAATATGGCCATAAAACCATTCATAAACTTGTTAGACCATTATTTATCATCAGGTGGATAGTAATGAATTTCAATCCCTTTAATTACATCTCGACTCTTTTACAGTACTCATATTTTAAAGATGGTCTCACAGCATTTATAAACTTATTGGATCATTATCCATTATAATGAACTACCGTAGATGGTAATACATTGTAATAACTTGATCATATTAAAAATTTTTTTGCAGTATTAATAATTCAAATATGACCATATAGCTTTCATTAACTTATTGGACCATTATCCATCAGATAGATGGTAATCAGTTGTATTCACTCGATCATATCTTGGCTCTTTTACGGTACTCATATTTTTAAGATGGTCGTACAGCTGTCATAAACATATTAGATTATTGTCAGTTATGATCAAGTGGATGGTAGTGGATTGATCATTTCTTGAATCTTTCATAGTACTAATAATTTGAGTATAGCTATTGCAACATTTATTAACTTATTAGACCATTATCTAACATAATCCAGGGACGCCGCTATAACAATACGATCATGATAATCATTAATAGATATTCAAGCGAGGATTATGCATTTGCTTCGGTAGTGTAAATTTGATATCATTAGGCAAACCTATAATAAGTGAACCGGAAAGATAATGAAAAAATTGATATTACTAGTAAGATTAATTAACTAATCTTTTATGCAAGCAAATACGCCTATAAACATGTCGGTAAAGATATGAAACTGATGTCTTACGAAAAATATTAGTTCTTATACCT